AGGTATTTTACTGCTCCGTTAACATGTGATATGCAGACGCTGAGGGTAGTTTATCTAATGAGTATGTCCTACTAAGTTCTATATGAAAATAATTACATTACCTACACATCTTTCACATCCAGCAGACATCTTTGCAAGCTGTTAAAATTTGGCCCTACAAGAAAAGCAAGAAATTGGATAACCCGACCCAAAGAATTTACTATGCCGTGTGACATAATTGTGCAAAACTTGTCCTCAGGTGGTATCCTTTATTACTGGAGAGGCAGAGACAAAGCATCTCATTCTTTCTGAGCATTAAAGACCATCACATACCTCCCTAAGGACACTGGAATAGAGATCAGTTTACTAGTTGCACAGAGATGAAAGTGCCCTATTACACTGCTCATGAGAACATATCATTTTCCTTAGCACTTTCACCAGAAGATAATGATTTCATGAGACTACAGCAAGGGGTAAAACCTGCAATTACCATCCAGAAATGTAGAGCAAAGATCAGTAGAACCAAAACATCTGTGGCCACCTTTAGGAACTTTGCAATATAACTATGCTGCCCACTCAGAACTTCATAGGTGCAACATAAATAAAACACAGGTCCTCCTGATCCAAAAATCACATAGTCCCTAAGCTGTTTGAGCTAAACAAGAAACTCCTTTAGCTGGTAGCAGTGCAGGGCCTATAACACACAGGTTTCTTATTTTATCCAGGCGAGGGTAACGATACATATAAACATCACACTAGCCAGTCCAATACTACTGACAACCCACCTTGTTGCAATTCCTGCATAACATTCCTGTCCTGACATATCCTAGCCTCTTAACTAATACTGATGGGGCTCAAGCCCCACCCTGGTTTCTACAGTCATTAGAGACAGATCTAAGCCTTGTAGTGTATGGTTGATACAAGGGTTGGGTTGTGTCAGGACCGAGAATGTTATATGTGTGTATTAGAGCTGGTTGGAAAACTGATGTTTTTTCTGCAGAAAACTTAAGTTTTTTTGGTGAAAATAAAAAATCAAAATATTTTAGCCAAACACTGAAATATTTCAATTCTGAAATGTCACCACAGTGTCTCATGGGAGTTGTAGTGTGAGTGCTTAAAACTTACTTTCTCCACAATAGGCTGGGTTCCCTGGTTGGACTCCCATGGTCTCCCCTCTTGGTAAGGGGAGGTGGTACATCGTGGCAGTCATGTGGCATGGTGCATCATGGGAGATGACATTTTTCCCAAAAATATTTCGTTTAATCAAAGGCCAAATTTTCCATGGGAAAAAAATGTCATCAGAAAAAATTTGATCAGCCCCCTAGTATGATTATGTATGTGTGTGTTTACATACATATAAAATCAGGTAGATCAGTCTATGCATGCATGTACACACACACACACCTTTTACCCGTGTGTTTAATATTCTCCACTGGCTTTCATTAGGTGAACTTTGGCTCATAAATCCAGGGCCCTTGGAGAGAGCTGTAAAACATAGCAGACTAGGTGCCATTTCCCATGCTCACATGGTTCTAGTTCTGACTGGCCAAGTAAATGCAAGCGCTCCCCTGCTCTATCGCTTTCAGCCTTTGAATGTGCAAAGATAACCGGAGTTTGTGAGTTTGACACCTGCTAATGAGCAATGTGTTTGTGTCCCAGGGACAAACAACCTGGATTCCTTTGCTAGCTGGATGCTGCTAATGCCACGGGAGACACCAAATGAGTTGAACCCCAACCACTTTCTTGATGCTGATGGAAAGTTTACAAAGACAGAAGCTTTCCTGCTTTTCTTCACAGGTAACTAAAAGGGCCTGATCCCGCAGGGAGGCAGCATGCCTAGTACCCCTCAAGAGGTACCACTGTCTTGCCGGATTCGGCCGTATGTTAAGAATGATCCTTATATTTATATCAGGACTGGTTTGGCGATGTCCACAGCAAGTTCCTATCACAGTTACATATAGATCCCCAGGCCACCCATAGAGATAACGGCAACACACTTGTTCCCATAGGACCTATGCAGTGATGTTAGTGTAGCTGTGTGGGCTCCGCACCTCTGAGCATCAGGCCGCTTTTACTCAAGAGAGGAAGGGTGGTTCCATGCTTAAGATGCTAGAGTGGGACTCAAGAGACCTGGGTTCAGTTCCCTTCTCCACCACAGCCTGCCTGTGTGAAGTAAAGGAACCTACCCACTGAGTAATGTCTGAATTTTTCTTGGTTAATGATAAAATGGGACATATGACTTTATGTTCTTAGCCTTCCTCTCGTGTAAGCTAATTTGTATATGCTTTGTTCCAATGGATGGCTAAAACCCTGTGGGCTTAGTCCTTCTGTCCTCAGTCAAACCTTATTTGCAAAGCTCAATGGGAGTTTTTCCTGAGTAAGGACTGCAAGACCTGGCTGTCAGTCAATGCCGTTGCAGGATATTGGTGCCATCTTGTGGCCAAAAGGGGAGCAATAGATAAATCAGATTCCTTAGAAATGTTATATTGCAATGCAGAGCACAAGCACTTGACCAACAAACTTTGCAGGTAGAGGAGGTGAAAAGTTGAAGTCCATTGAAGAATATGGAGATTGTATTTACACCCACTTCAAAGGCTCATGAGCAGGTGTTTTCTGTCAGATCTGTAGCTGAGTTATAATCAATGTTTTTCCATAATTTGGGTGGACAGATACACAGGAGGAGTCTTTCGTGCAGAGATGTACCCCACTCTCTGATTTCCTGAGGGCTGTAGAGTGATGCATTCTACCCATATGCTGATGATACAGGGATGAGCATAAGAAGTGTGATACATTTTTTTAAAAAATTGTAAATCAGAGCCTGTTCTCTGCCCCTGACATTACCAGCTGATCAGTTGGCTCTGATTAATAGTCCATCTCAGTCATTTCTGATGTATTTGCATCACATAATCTGCAAATTTTCTATAAACAGCTGATCTCACTAGGCTCCTCTCACTTCATCAGAAGATTCAAGTGTGGGAGGTGTTGCCTGGGCTTCAGCAGAGTCTGAAAGATGTTGCTCAGGAGAGGAGAGAGACATAATCATTTCACTTTCCAAACCCCAGGCTCTCAAAGCGCTTTACAAACACCAAGAATAAACCCGCATAACACCCTGGGAAGGTAAGTATTTTACAGGTGTGGAGAATGAGTCACAGAGCCTTTCAGTGACCAGTCTCATACAATGAGTCGACTGGGAATAAAACGCAGGTCTCTTGAATCCCCATCTCTTGCTCTAATCACTAGACTGTATTGTCTCTTAATTGTTTGGAAACCAGTGCATCCCTAGATGGATATCACTTGGAAACTGACTAAATCCCAGGGATGAAATCTAGACCCACTGAAGTTGATGAAAAACTCCCATTGACTTCAATGGGGCAAGGATTTCAGTCCAGGTTTTGGGGGGTGTCACTAAAGAGCGCTGTGGCAGGGAGGGAGGGAGCCGTTGTGGAAGCTGAGGGGACAGCCCTTGAGTGATTCCAGACCTGATTTGCCTACCTTCTTTCGAGAACACCCAGCCTCCCTCCCTCGGCCTGGTGTCCACCATGGACCATCTCCTTCTGACGCCTCCCTCAGGACTGGGATCCCCAGCCCGGGAGAAGTAGTGCAGGCCAGCAGCAGCTGCCAACAGCTGAGAGCGACGAACCCAGAGCCCACAGCAGCTCCAAGTAGGGAAGCTGCATGAGTAGCAACAAAAGTTTGATGGGAAGCAGGAGGCTTTTTGTCTCCTTGGGAAGAAAGGTTCTTTCTTTCACAGCCTGCAGGCAGGCTTTGGGGGGTGAGGGTTAGGCAGGCCGGGCACAAAGAGCCTGTATCTATCAGTGGAAGGAAAGTCTCTCATCAGAGGTGGGAGGGAGAACTTAACCTGAGGTAGGTGAAAGGGAAGGTGATTCAGTCCTAGCATGCTCACCCTTGGTGCAGAATGCTGAGGCCCTCCTACTGAACGCTTGCCATCAATGGATGCCTCTCCCACGGACATACTTTACTTCAGCCCGAAGAATGGGCTTTGCGTAGGGACACTGGCTGAAATTCTCTGGCCTGTGTTATCCAGGTCAAACTAGATGATCATAACGGTCACATCTGTGAATCTGAAGATATGCGTGCCCTGCAATCACAGATTGTATAGACACAACTGCAGCGTGGGCTGTACAAGCTTGCCCAGGACCTGGGGTAATTACTTGGGCTGTTAGTCTGCCTCAATTTCGTAGGACAAATCTCTTTCTCTGAGGTCTGAGGTTTGTCTCCAAGCAACTTTCGGTGTCCTGTTTAAATGACTTCAGTTGTGTAGATTATATGCAATAAATACATTTTGGGGTTAAAACTTTATTGGGTGGCCAAATAAAAAGGAACGTATGCATTGAGAGCTGATCTGATGATGGATATGCAGAGAGAGGAGTTAGCAGGCAAATACAAACACAGAACGATGCCTGAGCTAGACATGAATTAGAGCATGATTCATTACTACGACGGCAGATAAAAAGAGTACTTTCTGGCAGAGGTGACAGCCATAGCCAAGAGTACAGAACAGAACAAACCTCAAAGCCCACCCCCTCCTTCTGCTGGTTTCCTGATCCCAGTTATCCAGCTGACACAGGAACAATCTGTCAGACCTCACTCAAAACCGATTGCAAGGATGGGTTCCAAAAGTCAGACTAGTTATCTATTGTGTGGAGAACAAGAAGAACGTTTTCTCTGATTTAGCCAGCCCAAGGAGGGCAGAAATCCATAAATGTGTGCATGGCATTGGATTACTTTTCCATGTCATCAGCTCTTTATAGTCAGCTGCCAGTGCGGGTCTCAAGAGGCATCTCTTCTCTCTTTCATTTAGACGATGAAGCAGACTTGTATTGTCAGAGACAGAACTCCCTATGTCAGTTTCCAGTGTTTGCTCACTCCCTCTAAGGTCATTCTCAAATCACGTGAACAAGTCAAGTTTTCTCAGTTCTACAGCCTCCACCATTGACATCTGGAGCATCTCTGGGAGGATAGCGTAGTAGAATTTTGGTAGAAGCTACAAATGGCTACAGAAACCTTGAAGACATTCACTAGATCAGCAGTTCTCAAACTGTGAGTTGGGGCCCCAAGGTGAGTCGCGCAACCCTGTTTTAATGGGGTCGCAAGGTCTGGCTTAGACTTTCCAGGGCTGAAGCCAAAGCTCGAGCCCCACTGCCAGGGCTGAAGCCTGAGGACTTCAGCCCTGGGTGACAGGGCTCAGGTTACAGGTCCCCTGGCAGGGGCTGAAGCCCTTGGGCTTCGGCTTTGTCCTCCCACCTGGGGTGGCAGGGCTCAGGCTTTGGCTTTGCCCCCACTCCCACCCGGGACAGCGGGGCTTGGGCAGGGTCATGCTTCATTACCCCTCCTGGGGTCATGTAGTAATTTTTGTTGTCAGAAGGGGATCACAGTGCAATGATGTTTGAGAACCCCTGCACTCGATCCTATTGGATGGCTCTAGCATGGGGCCCCTATAGCATTTCTGCCCATTACAGATTAATGGTGCTCTAGTCTTCTTGAGAGAGGTAGCTTTTACAGTCAGATTCCCATAGTATTCTTATTCAGAACACAGCTCATTCCATAGGTGCAGGAGCGTGTACATTATAGAAGATAGGGGTCTATTACAGGAGTGGGTGGGTGAGGTTCTGTGGACTGCACAATTGTCCTTTAAAGTCTATGAGAAGCAGAGAGTGAAACATATTAACCATTTCTCCAAGGCTCTGCCTTCTCTTTGCTGCACTCAGCAGAAATGTCCTATGCACTCAAAATCAATACAAAGGAATGATTCCCTAATACTGTCCTGCTTATTCACACAGAACAGCACAGGCTGACTGAGGCTGTGGTCTTAAAGTAAAAGTAGTCTGAGGAACCGCAAGGTCCAGCTCTGATTCTGTGACCCCTGGCGGGGGTTGGAAAGTAAACGTCCGCAGCAACCCTACAAAGAACAGAAACAGCTCCATCTTGGCCAGACTTTCTCCAATGCAATTCCGGCGCCCTGCAGTGTCAAAAATGATTAGATTTAACTGTCAGAGAAATAGTTACAGAGGTGATGTATGTTAATATTATAGTCATCAGGTGATCTATTAGGAGCAGTAATGGGACTCCTCGTGTACCATTGTACCCAGCTGAACTGACATAGTTACAGCAAAATAATCTGTGTTGTAGCCAGATGATTATGCCAGTAGCTCATGTTGCCATGGTATGCATGTTGATTCCTTTGTCAGACACGTTCATATAGCAAGGAGGTGATAGCCACATGGTAAATTGCCAGGCTATGTAATACATGAAATTATTGTGCACCCTTTTCTGTGGCAGGCTGTGGTCTCTAGTGGATAGGACATAATTAGAGATCTGAATTCAGCCACTGAATTGTTGTGTGACCCTGGGGTATGTCACTTCCCCTCTCTGTGTGTTTGTTCCCCTCCCATGCTGTGTCTGTCTTGTCTGTTTAGATTGTGAGCTCTACAGGGCAGGGACTACCTCTTGCTGTGTATTTGTACAGCACCCGGCACAGTGGGGCTCTGTATCTAGGCTGAAATCTTGAGATGCAACTGTAGTCCACAGACATCATCCACAGACTTATCCTGACACCCCAGCCCCCTGAGCACTTTCAAACAACCTCTTTCTCTTAAAAATCAGCCTTCCCGAGAAATGTTCCCTTCCCCAAAGGTGGAATGGTTTGAAGACTTGTAGGTTATCACCCAGCCAGTCACACTTTGGTGACTGTCTTTTGTTCTTGGCTCCCGTAAGACTGTTTCTTTATTAGCAGGATCCCCTGCCCCAGAATGACAGTATCTGAGAGATGACATCAAGAAGAAATCGGGGAAAGTGAGAACGTGGCTTTTGACATCAAAAAATCACTGCTGATGATTTTTGCATCAAAAATGCAAATGCCTGGCTGATGCAGTGCTGTAGCAGCAAACCCCATGCTGGAGAGCGGGGTCCAGAATCACAGCTGGACTCCTGATCTGGACTCCACAGCTGACATTTAACAGAGACAGCTGTAAAGTATCGGGTTGCAAGGCAGGATTTGAGAGATTCTGCAGGCAATCTTCCTCTACAGTTGTCATAAATATAAAGGGAAGGGTAAACCCCTTTAAAATCCCTCCTGGCCAGAGTAAAACTCCTCTCACCTGTAAAGGGTTAAGAAACTAAAGGTAACCTCGCTGGCACCTGACCAAAATGACCAATGAGGAGACAAGATACTGTCAAAAGCTGGGAGGAGGGAGAGAAACAAAGGGTCTGTGTGTCTGTCTATATGCTGTCTTTGCCGGGGATAGACCAGGAATGGAGTCTTAGAACTTTTAGTAAGTAATCTAGCTAGGTATGTGTTAGATTGTGATTTTTTAAATGGCTGAGAAAAGAATTGTGCTGAATAGAATAACTATTTCTGTCTGTGTATCTTTTTTGTAACTTAAGGTTTTGCCTAGAGGGGTTCTCTATGTTTTGAATCTAATTACCCTGTAAGGTATCTACTATCCTGATTTTACAGAGGTGATTTCTTTACTTCTATTTACTTCTATTTCTATTAAAAGTCGTCTTGTAAGAAAACTGAATGTTTTTTTCATTGTCCTCAGATCCAAGGGTTTGGGTCTGTGGTCACCTATGCAAATTGGTGAGGCTTTTTATCCAACATTTCCCAGGAAAGGGGGGGTGCAAGTGTTGGGAGGATTGTTCATTGTTCTTAAGATCCAAGGGTCTGGGTATGTAGTCACCTAGGCAAATTGGTGAGGCTTTTTACCAAAACTTGTCCAGGAAGTGGGGTGCAAGGTTTTGGGAAGTATTTTGGGGGGAAAGACGTTTCCAAATAGCTCTTCCCCACTAACCAGTATCTGTTTGGTGGTGGTAGCGGCCAATCCAAGGACAAAGGGTGGAATATTTTGTACCTTGGGGAAGTTTTGACCTAAGCTGGTAAAGATAAGCTTAGGAGGTTTTTCATGCAGGTCCCCACATCTGTACCCTAGAGTTCAGAGTGGGGGAGGAACCTTGACAACAGTACTTCAGGGTTCCTGCAGTGCTGGGATTTGTAAACCTCATAGTAAGGCTACTCTTTCCAGCTGTGGCCACTTGTAATGCACTCTGCTGGATGGCAGCACGTGCAGGCCAGGAAACAGGCAGCTTTGGAAATTAACAGCATTTGGAAACATTTATTGCTGGGCCACAGCAGAGAGGCTGGTTAGAGGACACCTCTCCACTAAAGAGGGATTCGGATGGAATTTCACAGGATACCTGATACCTTGCAATGTTCCTTGCCTGTCGGAACTTCATCTGAATACTTGGGATGGGCTGTTTGATTTATTCCACCTTGGCTGCTTGTTTGCATGTGTGTGTGTGTATATGTGTGTGCGTGCGTGCATGCATACACAAATACACATTTAGAAGGGTGGAGTAGGTCAGTATTTTACACATCTGTCTAGCACAGGGGTGGGCAAACTACAGCCCAGGGGCCGCATCCAGCCCTTCAGACGTTTGACTCTGGCCCTCGAGCTCCCGCCAGGGAGCAGGGTCTGGGGCCTGCCCCGCTCCATGCTGGGGAGCAGTGTTGAGGGCTTGCCCTGCTCCACGCGGCTCCTGGAAGCAGCAGCATATTCCCCCTCTGGCTCCTACGCGTAGGGGCAGCCAGGGGACTCCGCATGCTGTCCCTGCCCCAGGCGCCGCCCCAGCAGTTCCCATTGGCCAGGAGTGATGGCCAATGGGAGCTGCAGGGGCGGTGCCTGCGGATGGGGCAGCGCGCAGAGACGCCTGGCCGCGCTTCCATGTAGGAGCCAGAGAGGGGACATGCCGCTGCTTCTGGGAGCTGCTTGAGGTAAGCGCCACCTGGAGCCTGCACCCCTGATCCCCCCCTACACCCCAACCCCCTGCCCCAGCCCTGATCCCCCTCCCACCCTCTGAACCCCTCATCCCAGCCCGGAGCACCCTCCTGCATCCCCAACCCCTCATGCCCAGCCCCACCCCAGAGCCCGCACCCCCAGCCGGAGCCCTCACCCACTCCCGCACCTCAACCCCCAATTTTGTGAGCATTCATGGCCCGCCATACAATATCCATACCCAGATGTGGCCCTCGGGCCAAAAAGTTTGCCCACCCCTGGTCTAGCATCTTTCAATTAAGCCCACCACCTCCTTGTGACCGAGTATTATTGACTGTATTTTGCAGATGAAGAAATTAAAATCCAGAAAGAATTCAGTGATGTGTCAAGGCCACACAGTAAGTCAATGGTACAGCCTCCTGTCTCTGGTTTAGGGTGTCATTCAAGTCCTGTTTATTTTGGCTGGCCTCTCCTTAGCACCTTTTGGGCTCCCTTCCTTATTCTTTTGGAGCCAACACCCTTCCTTCCCTTTGTCTACCTTTGTATCAGTTGAGAACTGATCCATTTTGTTAGAGGGAAGGCTTATGCTGAGATAAGTTAGGTCTGTTGCAGATTCATTGGCTTTGCTTGGCTGGGTATTAGGTTGGTTTGATCCTTTTTGAAATACTGAAATAGATCTCTCCTGATCAATGCTCTGTTTCCTAGTACAAAGTTCCTGATCCTGCCAGAGTCTGAGAACCCTCTGCTCCTTTCAGGATAGGGCCCCTTAATTACCTGTGGAGAATGGCAGGAAAGCTTCTTTCTTTACAAACTTCCCACCAGCATCAAGAAAGTGGTTGGGATTAAACTCATGTGGTGTCTCCCACTGTGTTTTATCCAGCAGCACCGAAGTGAGGGAAGGAATCACGGTTATTCCCTGGAATACAACATGAGGCACAAACTAAAAGAGGTGTTGGGTTCTACAAACCTCTATACATCCAAAAGCAAAATGAAACCTCTGATTGAACTGACATTCCAATCCTGAGGAATTCTCTTAGAGGTACATTGCTCATTGCTCTTTGGGGCAACGAGTATCCTTTTGTTCAGTGTTTGTACAGTGCCTAACACAATGGGGTCCTGGCCCTGGCCGGGGCTCCTCAGTGCTACCCCGTAGCAATTATAAATAACAACAACAACAACATTCAGAGTAGGACATGATGCTGCTAATGCCATATTCAGATGGGCAAGGACATTGTAACTGTGTGAGTACTGGTGGCTGAGGCAAGGAAGGGCTGCAGGATTTGGTCTTCAAAGATTATTGAATTCTGCTGATCTACTCTGTCAGTCTCCACCCTGCTGTTAAAGCTTTGCTTCTTCCTGTGACCCAAACCTCAGTCTGATTGAAGTAAATGTGAATCTTGCTACTGGCTTCACTGAAACCTGGATTTTACCTGTTGGCTGTGCCAAATTCCAGCTTTAATTCTGGTTTCTACCAGGTGCACTTGCATAGATGATTTGAACCCTTTCATTCAGAGCACTGTACATAATACAGGCTGAGATTTTCAAGGCCGTGTAGGGTGTTTAGAAGATGGCTAAATCCCCAGCACTGCCTTGAAAACTACAAACATGGGGCCAGATCCTGCATGCCAGCCTTCCAGAGTACCTCACTCTGCAAATAGCCCCACTGAGTCAAACAGAGCTCCTCTTGGAGTGAGGAATTACTCACATGAGGCTGGCAGAATCTGGCCCTTAGCGTCTAAGTATCCATTCATTGCTGTTGGCAAAGGGCGGAACATACTGGTATCCATTTAAAAAATGCGATACATACCTTGGGGAGGAAGTAGCCTCTGAAATGTGTGTCAACAGATGTGCACCGTGGAACGTGTGGCAGCAGGGTGATGAATCTCTGCACTTCATGTATCACCGCGTTTGTAAATGGCATGTTTTTCCGGTCTTCATATGTGGCCTGATTTCCTGATTGGACAATGGTCCCAATCTCCTCTTGTACCTTTTCTAAAAGTAGAAGCAAACACAAATGTGTCCCATCGGAAGGCCTCTCTCCCCACTTTTGAATTTGCTTTGGCAAAAACAAACCACATTTTTCAAACCTAAACCTGGCTTCCTCAGGCACCCCAAGTCTCTCTGGATTTCAGGCATGTGTGTTTTGTTTTGTTTTGTTTTGTTTTTGTTTTGTATGATTCCACCTATACAACTCTTCTCTACATGCTCCCGCGAGGAAATAGAAAAATCCAGTTTTGGAAGACAGAAACCAGCCTTAATCAGCTTAGACTGCCAACTTTTTGGGACAAGGACAATCTTTTTGTTTGGTGTTCATACAGTGCCTAGCACATTGGCGTCCTGACTCGTGATTGGGGCTCCCCCATGCTGCTGCAGTACAAATAATAACTAATAATAAAGAGAGGGGATGCAGCTTTTGGGGCAAAAGCAGCATTGGCATCTACACATCGGACACTTAACCTGACCTTCTTATTAAAACAAGGCACGGACAAAGAGTGAAACCAGAGAGCGGCTCACTTTGGATCGCTGGATATTTCATCATCAGTAGGATGGCCCATTGCAATGTTGTGGCAGTTGTCTCCGTTCCAGCCATGACCAGGTCGAGTGCAGAGGCGATTATGTTTTCGTCATGAAACAGGCTGTCTTTCTTGTTTGTCTCCTTTAAACACACAAGTTTCAGTTAGTGTTGAAAGTGCTCTTGTTCACTCTGACTGAGGCAAAATTACCATTGAGTAAGCTTTGGGAAGCCCCACCTTGTCCATCGCATTTTCTGGCATTCTCCTTGGTTTGTGAGCCAAGGGGAAGCCAGCAAAGGATTTCAGAACCAAGGGCAGAGTTTGGTCTGAGCCACACAGTGCAGATTTGCATGGAGAGCTGAACTTCCCCAGAAACTAGAGGTGTTTTGATGCAAGCGATTGGTTCAGGGTTCATCTCTAATCTGAAGCAGGGCTGAGCTCTGCTTAGGATGGTATTCACAAACTCACCACTGCAGTTCATTTTGGAGGGGTTGGAAATACCTATTCCCTTCTGTGTGCAGCTGGAGATTCGAGTTCAATCATTTCAAACCTCCAAGAGACACCTCCCACTCTACCTGCCCGGCTGGAATGTGTGCAAAGATTTTTTGTGAACATTCTCCCCTGCCAGACTGTTGGGGCATAGTGATCCTTGAACCCAGCTCAGTATGAGTGGCTAGGAGGTGCAGTGTGCATATCTGGCCCAGCTCTGTTTTAAAGAAGAAAAGCTTAGAGTCTCAATGTTTTTTGTTTTAATATTACACTGAGATCAATCTGTCTTAGAAATCATAGTGGCCGGATGCAAGAAATAAATTCAGGGCCAGGACATGTAGCTGTGATATAACAACTAACTTTCTTTGAGTGTATTATTCCTTTTAGAACAATTAGATTAATGATTGGATTCTTTATTAACACAAGGGTCAGATTCATCCTTCATGAAACCCTATTGATTTTCCTGTAGGAACAAACAGTTGATCATAGATTATAAAGTGGGGTGGTGTTTTCACATCCGATTTTGGTGAAACATTCACTAGATAAATTATGGCAAAAGTAAGGGAACAGAGTTTGATTTCAGTTACATCTGGATAACGGCATTGACCTCAGGAAGGTTAAGTTGATGTGGCTGAGATCAGGATCTAGTTAAGTGTTTTTGTTGAAAACAGAGTAAATTGTAAATGGAGCATCTCAGTCACATACCTCATGTTGCTTGAACACTAATGCATCAATGTAGCTCAATGAGTTCTCGTTGACATCTTGTCTGCTGATCTGGATGTAATTCCTTAAAATGATGCGCACATCTTCTATTTTTTTAAGTAAAATCTTGTGGGTTTTGAGAAATAATCCAAGGAATGGGTAGAAATTAAAAAACTAGTAAGGAAAAAAAATAGACGCATGAAACTCAAAGTGCCAAGATACAGAAAGAGCCATGCAAAAGGGTTCTGGGACGGCCTGTCATTAGAGGTCCATAACATTGCCCAAAAGAGGTTTGTAATGATAACCAGCAATGCTGATATCACTGGGACTCTACCTGGGTGAAGCTAGCACATTTGAATGTAGGGCTGGGCCTTACACTTTCAGGCCCTGATTCAGCAAGGTTCTTAAGGACAGGCCTAACTATGTGGTCCCATTGGAGCAGATTTTCTACTGCATCTGGGCTCTGCTAAAATGCAGCGATGAGGCCACAAGGGAGCCAGTTATGTCTCCCTGATTCTGAGGTGCCAGGTCTCAGCACAAGGGCAAAGCTAAAAGGAAGCAGCTCTAACTTACATCACAGGTGCAGGGTCCCTTGGGAACCTTATTCTAGATACAAATTGAGTGCACTACTCCACCAAGCCCCTCCTGCCAAAATGTCCCTGACATGCTGACCCTGTAACCCCTATGTTTGGCTGGAGCGGGAGTTGGCTATGCCAGCTGAGAGTTCCCTTGCACAAAGGAAATTCTCCTCTGGTCACATTAAGTCCACTTTGTGCCACAGAATCTAGTCCTTTGATTTCAGTGCGGCTAGGTACATGATTAAGTACTTTGCTGACTCCTATGAAGCATGGTTAACACAGACATAGCCTCTGAACACGAACTATGATTAGAAAATACAAAGGAGGCAGGCAAAGGCTGTACTGTCATGCACAGTGAAATGACATATAAGAACAAATAGAATAAATTAAAAAGATAAAGTCTATGACAAAGTTCTTCCTCTGCCTTGGTGGGTTCTGCACTTTCTGATGGATTTGCTCGCCTCAGAGGTTTACAGCAGTCCTCAGTTTGGCGTCTTTTGTTAATGGCACAAACCTGCCGTTTACTCGACTAACCTCATCACTGGCCAGCATGGGGAAAAGGAGGAGAACAATCTCCACAGTCTCTGCTGGCCCACCTAATGAGTCGGGGGACAGGCCAGGGACCTTCCCCTCTGGTGGGACACACAGTCCAGATCGACTCCTCTTATATCAAATAGGGAGTTGGGGGGAATGGGAGGAACCCGGGCCCGCCCTCTACTCCAGGTTCCAGCCCAGGGCCCTGTGGATTGCAGATGTCTATAGTGTCTCCTGTAACAGCTGCGTGACAGCTACAACTCCCTGGGCTACTTCCCCATGGCCTCCTCCCAACACCTTCTTTGTCCTCACCACCAGACCTTCCTCCTGATGTCTGATGACGCTTGTACTCCTCAGTCCTCCAGCAGTATGCCTTCTCACTGTCAGCTTCTTGCGTGCCTCTTGCTCCTAGCTCCTCGCATGCACCTTGCTAACTGAAGTGAGGTCCTTTTTAAAACCAGGTGTCCTGATTAGCCCACCTGTCCTAATTGATTCTGGTAGCTTCTTAATTGGCTCCAGGTGTCCTAATTAGCCTGCCTTAATTGGTTCCAGCAGCTTCCTGATTGTTCTGGAACAGCCTATTATCTTACTCAGGGAAAAGGGATCTGCTTAATCTGGGGCTAATATATCTACCTCCTATCCCATGGCAATGAGTTCCACAGTTGAACTTGCCATTGTGTGGAAAAAGGACTTCCCCCTTGTTTGTATTAAACCTGATGCTTATAAAAACAAAAACAAAACACTCTACTGTAGCAATCTGGCCTGACACTGTCACAAGTCTCAAATCTTGGGGGCAGAAACCAACACTCAGTACAGGGCTAAAATTCTTATAGCATAATTCTCATCTCAAATCCACACCAGACAGCAATTCTCAGTGGGACTATTTTATATATCATAGAGGCTATCAGCAGCCTGGCCACAAAGATGTTGCTCTTGTCTGTGCTGAAGAGAATAAAAACAAGAACTAGTAGGTTGTAACTCCAGGCACCAGTTATTCATATTTCGCTACCTGAAACTAGCACGTTAGTAAACTGTTTCATGAGCACGATATCTTCCATTCGGCACTATTACCTATCACATTAGTATCAAATAGATACTGTGATACCAGTTCATACTAAAACACAACTGTTACCTTAGTTTCCTAGTGTGATACATGCAACGAACTGGCTGGAATAAACCCTGCATGTGACCATCCTCACATGAACAATAGAGGGAACTGGCTGGTGAAATGTGATTTTTTTCCCCGCAGTTGAATTAACGATCCAAATGCAAATTACAACACTCAGGAACACTGTGGATTTGTGACACTGTCTAGGGACCTATAGACCAACCAGTGGATTTCATCCACCCAGACAAGTTTTTCTTGTTACAGATGCAATGTAGATAACCTTCGTTTAGTAAGTATAATTCAGTACAGGTCACTAATAGATGTGGAAAATAGTCACGACACAAAATGTTCTTGGAGTTTCAATCTTATGGGCATGTTACAAAATCCATGAATATAGCTGACACTATATCTCATGCTCACTGGTAATCTCAGCCTTGAGGCCAAGAGGGTGCAGAGCCTGAATTCCATTTTTGGGGGCTAGAAGGGTTTCCTCCCATGTCATGGTTGAAGCACATTGGCTGGAGAGTTGGGGAAGCTTGCAGTGCTGCTTCCTGTCCTTTCTCAGAGTGAATCTAACCCTGCATAACAGGGATATTCCTAACTCACAGTCCCTTTGTTCAGTCTGTTAGACCAATGATTTGTAAATGGTGGTAGGTGGATTGCAATTACATAGTATACAGCTTGGTTTCAAATATGGTCTGAGGATCAGACTCCATTTTAATGACACTGATTATAATTATGAAGGCAGCACCCCGAATAGTATTGAGTTTTAGATGGGATGTGCTAGTTCTTACAGCCTGAGATCTTCTGCACTGGATCATGGAGCCTGTATGACTCAAAATACACGGAAAGAGTTACTTACATGCAAGAATGGAGATCCAAGAAGAACCATAACTTCATCTATGAGTCTTAACAGAGTGACAAAGGTTGAGTCTTTGTAATCAAACCGGTCCCCAAACAGCATAAGAAAGGTGATGTTGGTTGGAGCAGCATTAAATGACTTGAGGCTAAATGGTTCACCTATAATAAGAACAAACAAAAGCATAAACATAACTCTCATGCCGCAGCCTCACCGCTGACTTGTGTTTACAATGGTGTTTGAAAAGTCTGCACAATGCGATATTTAACCTTAATATTCCCCAGCTCACCTCGGAAAGATTTGATCATCTCAATAAGCAAATGAAGCTCTTCAAGAATTCTTTCCTCTATCAGCTTTTTCCCCATTCCAAGGTTGCGCATGCTTGACACAGTGAATCTTCGTGTTGTTCTCCACAGTTCTCCATTAGAAAAGAACACACCTGAGGTATATGTGAGGTATATGTGATTGCTGAGAACGTAGAGTTCAAGGGGATCCTACTCTACTTAAAAGAATATAAGAATATCTCCACCGTTTCTCTCCCTCCATTTCTTCTTGCTGTCCCATTATCCCATTTGACATTCATTTCTATGTCCTCCTCCTAGCTCCATCCACCAATCCTAGCCATCTTTTACTTCATGGAAATAGTTTTCCTCCTGGTTCAGTCTTTGCCATCACACTCATGTGGGAGGCAACCAGGCATTTAGAGCACTCTGTTTTTAATACATTTTCTGTGTGACTTTAATGCTGATGTAATGGGCCAGATTAACAGCCCTGAAGACCTAAATCCTCTGTTGGTCCATTCAACAAGTGCTGCAAGGGTAGCAGAGGCAAAAGCTTCCGGCTGTGTCCCAGATCTGACATGACCTCTAGTGGTCAAGGGATAACAGAGTCTCCAAGCCCTTAGTCAATCCTTGGCATCTCTGCTGAAGCTACCAATAAGACTGTTATTTACTACTGGTATTAGTGTTTGCTTATGTGACGTGGACGGTATCCTACCAAACTCATTTCACCCAGATCACTAAAAGTCAGCTGCTTGTAATAGCTGCTGATCTACATTAGAATTGACCTAGGAGCTAAATGTGAAAGCTTTTCTACTGCCCCCCATTATATCAGTGTTACAGATATACTGACTCTGACCAATTCTTTTCCTCCTTCCATTGATTTGTCAGTTTGTAGCACTGAGATCAGTTCTCAGAGTGTGACTGGGGGGGCTCTATCACACATTGTACTCAAGGAGCACTGTGTGATAGTTGATGCTGGAGCTCCTAGTTAAACTTTGAGCTAGAGAGTGGAAGAAATAAGAGGAGGATCCAAGTAAAATGTTTTCTAAGCCATTCATGGATATGGGAATGGAGGAACTGCCTTGGGGAAATGATGGAGCTGTTTGAGGGAAGGGATCACAGATTTGGCCCATAACCCTTATCTGAACCTGTGATCTATTGTTCTACAAAGGGTGATTTTTGAAGGCAGGACTTTCTGGAATGAATACATCCCAAATGGCAGCACTGACTGGCAAGAGATACCTGAGTGCCAAAATACCTGAGTGCCAAATCCAGTATGGTTCATCTCTCATGAACTGATACCTCAGGTAAAATGCATTCATGGCAGTGAGGCACCTAACTCACATTGGCTGCCTATGGGAATTAGTCACTTACTTGCCATTGTGCCTTTAAAATTCTGCCCTCATTTTTTAAAATTCAGGATGTTAACTGGTTACAAAGTTGTTTGCCAAAGTAATTGCCGCTAATGACAACAGCTGCAAGCCATTCTAAATAAACTGGAAAAGCAGAATTTTGGGGTCAGTTTGACTAAAATACAGACTTGGGGCAGGACTTCCAAAAGTGCTCAGGCAATGGTGGCAGTAGGAGAAGAGTTAGGCCAAGGCTGAGCCCTTTTGAAGCTCTCACATCTCCAATGGCTAGTACCATTTCCATGCTGGATTTGTTCAAATATTGGGATGGGTGGTCGGTCTACAAATTCATCCGTGAAGTTCACGAGCGCCTCCTTCACGGCTTCATATCCGGTCAGTACCACAGCTTTCTGGGACCCAAAGTGGAGGGTGAACACTGGCCCATATTTTTCTGCTAGCTGAAAAAGAAGAAGAGGATTTTAGTGTCATCAGTGGAGACAGCGCATTCAGAAATCCCTCATTTCCTCTTAATACCCAAGGCGTACGCTGGTGTATTTGTTTATAGCACTAATCTGACTAGCATATGCATGAGACCCGTTGGTCTAGTAGGAGCTCAGTCCTGTTCTGTGTGGGGAAAACCACACACACTCCAATCTCTAACTCTGTGGCATTCAGACCAGGAAATCTGGCCCCATGTATTTTAAACAAACTCATACTTTTACATACACTTGAATGCTAAAAATGAGATATTCATAAATCCCCAGTGTTTACGCACTTTGTTTACTCTTTGCATTTCTCTTAATTTAGTCAGTGAAAATCTAGGAAGTCATTGAAGTCTGTTCTTGATTCAGAATCAGTGTTGGGTAGTTAGAAAGGGGAAAAAGGTTCCATGACAGGTAGCTGAAGTATAGTCATTAAAAGGATAGTATGGTATAGACTGGTATAATCTATAGACTGGTATAGACTATTAGTGGGGTGTTTGAGCTCAGTGCCACAAGAGAATATTCTTAGGTCTACAGGAAGCTAATAGTCTGGTTTTGTTCTGAAGAAGAAGGAGAATAAAGAACAAACAGACCCCTATAGACTGGGAATCAGTTAATAAACAAAATGGCGGAATAGGAGAAAGACAGATAGAAACAGACCTGTTGTTACAAAGAACAGAAAAAGAACAGAAATTCCATTTCATGCAGGATTTCAAGTTTTTTTAATTTCTTTTTGTTCTGATTTGGAATGAAAACTGAAAATTGCAAAATTCTCCATGAAAGAAAATATTAAAAAAAAATGTTTTGGCTCCATCAAAATGTTTCGTTTTGATTTTTTGACTTTATATTCTACTATATTGTATTCTATTGAATTGTACGTTATAAAATTCATACTGAAAGTTGTTTTGAAAGGAAACATCTAAATGTTTTGTTCCAAAAATGTCGACATTTTGATACGTCTGAACTTTTTTTTTTTTTTTGCTAACTATTCTAAACTATCTGTTCAATCTTGTTTTTAGCTGTGACACTCTTGCTACGTTTCCCGGAGCTGAAGAAGAGCACTTGTAGCTCCAAAGCTTGTGTCTGTCACCACGATAAGGTGGTTCAACAAAAGATACTACCTCACCTCCACCATGTCTAATTTCATAAGTATGTCTGCAGGAGCTGGCTGTGCTGGGGGGCAGATTCCTGTTCATGTTTGGTAAAGAATCATGTTTGCTAATGACTCCCATAGGCATTCTGCATGTAGCATAACACCCTGGGGAGAGAATCCTAGTTTCATGGGGGTGGCATGTGTGTACATGCTGCTAGCCGCTACGTATCTTGCATTTTTAGGGGAGCAGAATGGGATCCCTGCAAAGAAACTTCATTTTTCAAGCATTGCAAAGTTTCACGCCCTTCCATATGTTAAGGGATAAAGTAGGGTCTAAGCACATGGGGTGAATTCTGACTCCCACCCCCAATGATACAATGGTGGAAGGCTTTTAACACACCACAATTTGCACACAAAGTCACCATGCCAGTGCTTCAAGCCAGCACAGAGAGGGGTTGGAGACACAGAGATGTGTGGCCACTACACAAATTCAATGCCTTGTAACCTAAACATAGATGGCAGAGGGCAGCCTCATCCACAGCCCGTTCGTTGCATTTGGGCCCTGGGAAGAGAACTTCTGACCGTGCAAATCCCCCTGCGTGAGGTCAATGCGCTAAGGATATAGCCCATGTTAGTAACCAATAGGTACTATGCACTGGATGGAACCCTGCAATGATAGCTGTTTTACTATTTGTATCACCCTAGTGTCGAAGAGTCCTAGTCATGCACCAGGACCCCAATTATTTGTTGCACTGTTTATTAAACCCTGGCAGAAACAGATCCAAGGCAGAGCTGGATGGGCAGGAAGGAAACATGCTCAGACAGCCAGGGAGAAGTTTTGCAAAACCTTTCTCTTGGGGTAAGGAAAAGCAAAGCTCCTGGATTGACCCTAGCCTGACAGGCTCCTTTTCAGCATCCTCTTACAGATAAGAACTCATTATCTGCTTAGACAATGATAAGTGGTTTTAATTACAAGTTAACAGAAGAATTCACAGCATATTTATTCCAGCTACTTGACAAAATTAATCCATCCTGTTATTCTGCCACTCCCTCGATTTCAATGGGAATTTGCCTTCTTAGGAATGGAGTAACAACTGCAGAAGAATATCTGGATTTGACCCTTCCTTATGTGGCTATTGGACTCTTTATAGTGAAATCCTCTTACTTCTTCCTGGGGATTTTCTTTTTCATGTTAGTTATTTGCTAATAGTCTAAAAGCCCTTTGGGTATGAGAGTTGTCAAGTTCATATTTAAAGTCCCACATACACTGTATACTTTATGTACCTTATCAAGTTTACATGAAAAAATCCACACTACCCCCAGGGGCCCTTTTTTAGTGGCTGATCAGAAATGAGATTGCCACCACATAGACAGGAGCTAGAAGAAGCTTGAGACAACATTACCGTGCAATTTTTACAGCTCTGAAATTTAATTCAGATTAATAAACAACAACAAAGTCTTCTCACTGGTTTAGCTGAGGCAGACTTAAAATGCATGAGGCGTTTTTTTTTCCCCCCCTACCTTCAATAGTGATTTATCTTGTCTTCTAATATCCAGCAAATGCAGGTTGCCAATGATCGGAAGAGGAGGTGGACCAGGAGGCAGTTTAAAAGGTGAGTTTTTAGAGCCAGTTGAAAAATAAAATGCACCTAATAAAAGCAGTGCACCTAGCAGACAGATTAATGCAGGATCAGAAATAAATGGCATTAAAAAAGCCATTGTTTTCTCGCTGTAATCTGGTTTTTGGGCTAGAAGCAATAACAAAGAAATGCGGTGGCGCTGTTCAGAGTGTAGCCGCAGGTTTTATGTTTGTTCTTTGCGATTGCCACACGTTTTCTGCTCTTATTAGGGTTTGCAAAACACCTAAATACATACTGTAAACTCCACCCTCCTTAAACACCTTGGAGAATGTGGTCTAAGCAGTTTGCAATGTCTGTCCAGCAATAAACAGGGTTTCGGGTTACAAGCCTGTGCATATTTGTGCAGGAGTATGTGTGTCTGATGATAGAGCTTTGTGATTCCTGTCGCGCCTTCACCTGAGGATCTCAAAGCACTTTATGAGCAGTGACATGAGTACCATTATGCCTGTTGTGCAGATGGAGAAATAGAAGCACGGGACAGTGAAGTAACTTGCCCAAGATCACACAGTAAGTCAATTGCAGAGATAAGAATAGAACCCCGGGGGTCTGTCTACCCTAGGGCAATGGCCTGTTGAATTGTCAGCAGTGGGTCCTCCTCTGGCTTCAGAATGGTGTAGCTTCTAGTGAAGGTGGGATCAAAAGGCCCTAGTGTAGACAGACCATTTTCGATGCCTGTTGAAAGGGGGAAACATAAGGATTTGTCATTGACAAGTACTGTAAGCAACAGCCTGTTTTCCTCGTGTGGAGTCGAACCCTAGCACTTCTGATGCCCAGATCTGTGCCATAACCACGAGACTCTTCAAGAAGTAGTCATGGGAGCTGAGAGTCACTGTGGTTGATTATGGCCTTTGGAATAGACAGTGGCTGGCACTTGGCTATAAGGCTTCAGGCCCAATGTGTGCAAACGGTTACCATGCCCACCTCAGTAAAGGTGTGTAGTGGTGGGTGCATCTCCTCCTGTTTGTTCTATCTTAGGTAGAAACTGGGGGCCAAATTATGCTCTGTCTTGCACATTCTACAGTCATTTTAGCCTGTACAAAGTGAGCGTAAAACATTACAAGGCCTGAACAGCTGGACCAGGGAAATATGCTAAAATCTGGAATCTTACCAATACTTATTCTGCTGATTTTAATGAAATATGGAGAACTATGATATTATTGGTCAAATTTTCTAATGGACCTTCATCAGTGTTGCACTTGAACCTGACTGAGCCTGCAAAACTCATCTTTGTGCATGTAGATGAGAATTTTCAGGAATAATTCATAGAATCATAGAATATCAGGGTTGGAAGGGACCCCTGAAGGTCATCTAGTCCAACCCCCTGCTCAAAGCAGGACCAATTCCCAGTTAAATCATCCCAGCCAGGGCTTTGTCAAGACTGACCTTAAAAACCTCTAAGGAAGGAGATTCTACCACCTCCCTAGGTAACGCATTCCAGTGTTTCACCACCCTCTTAGTGAAAAAGTTTTTCCTAATATCCAATCTAAACCTCCCCACTGCAACTTGAGACCATTACTCCTCGTTCTGTCATCTGCTACCATTGAGAACAGTCTAGAGCCATCCTCTTTGGAACCCCCTTTCAGGTAGTTGAAAGCAGCTATCAAATCCCCCCTCATTCTTCTCTTCTGCAGGCTAAACAATCCCAGCTCCCTCAGCCTCTCCTCATAAGTCATGTGTTCTAGACCCCTAATCATTTTTGTTGCCCTTCGCTGGACTCTCTCCAATTTATCCACATCCTTCTTGAAGTGTGGGGCCCAAAACTGGACACAGTACTCCAGATGAGGCCTCACCAATGTCGAATAGAGGGGAACGATCACGTCCCTCGATCTGCTCGCTATGCCCCTACTTATACATCCCAAAATGCCATTGGCCTTCTTGGCAACAAGGGCACACTGCTGACTCATATCCAGCTTCTCGTCCACTGTCACCCCTAGGTCCTTTTCCGCAGAACTGCTGCCTAGCCATTCGGTCCCTAGTCTGTAGCGGTGTAGTCTGTAGGATTCTTCCATCCTAAGTGCAGGACCCTGCACTTATCCTTATTGAACCTCATCAGATTTCTTTTGGCCCAATCCTCCAATTTGTCTAGGTCCTTCTGTATCCTATCCCTCCCCTCCAGCGTATCTACCACTCCTCCCAGTTTAGTATCATCCGCAAATTTGCTGAGAGTGCAATCCACACCATCCTCCAGATCATTTATGAAGATATTGAACAAAACCGGCCCCAGGACCGACCCTTGGGGCACTCCACTTGATACCGGCTGCCAACTAGACATGGAGCCATTGATCACTACCCGTTGAGCCCGACAATCTAGCCAGCTTTCTACCCACCTTATAGTGCATTCATCCAGCCCATACTTCCTTAACTTGCTGACAAGAATACTGTGGGAGACCGTGTCAAAAGCTTTGCTAAAGTCAAGAAACAATACATCCACTGCTTTCCCTTCATCCACAGAACCAGTAATCTCATCATAAAAGGCGATTAGATTAGTCAGGCATGACCTTCCCTTGTGCAACTGTGTGGACAAAGCAGGTAGTTGTGCACCCAACTTCCGGCTTTGCATGCACAAATACTTGTTTGCACACACAAATTCACAAGTTTGAGTACAAATGGATGTACCAGCACATTTTGCAAGTGTATTAGTGCATGGTAGTTGAAAATTTGGTTGTAAATCAATAGCCTTAATTGCAATGAAACCTTACCATTCAGCAGTTGTGTTCATGCCACATCCCAGAATAATTGCTGTCAGTATGGAGCTTAACAAGGAGCCAGTAAGAGTGGAAGTGATGTGCAGAAGGGCTGTGTGAAAATAGTAAACTAAAAGCAGCAGTCTTTAACTGAGATCTTCCCAAGAATGACAGCAAGATGAGGCACAGAATAGTTAATCCTTGACATTACTGAAGCAATTGCTTCATTAGTTTGGCATCATTTGCCCTACGTGAAAATGCTTTCCATTTGCACCAGCATTCTAAAATGATGGCCGAAAATACAACAATTCTACATGAATCTCCAACATCTGAATTGAGTTTATTGATACACCACATTCCTAGTGGGCTTGGAAGAGGAACTCTGATTACCAGCCAACCCAACTTCGGATCTGGCAATCATGCGTGAACATGTCTGGGACTTTTTACATTCATTTCCAAGAAGTGCTCTGCAGCTTCCCCTACATTCATGTTACACAAGTGCTCTACAGATGTACATACGGAAATAGTTAGAGACAGTACTGGTAGATGGGGGCTCAAAAATATGTAGCATTGTTCCTGGGTGTTGTAGGACCAGTGAAATTCATTGTGCTTTTTAGCCCTTCCAAAAATGCAGACAAACTCAATTTTTGGTTACATGATACATGGAGGTCTGGAAGCAATTTTTATAAAACGGCCTACAGAAGTCATTCGCTCATGGACAGCCTTGGTTCCAAAAATGTGTTACAAGACTAACTCCTGCTTCTGCAGGCATGTAAAGAGGTGCAAAAACCTTTGTTGTCATAATGCACATGATGCAGACATCCTGATGGCACCCTGATGTGGGATACAGTGGACCTGCCAAATTTGCTGTTGTCACTTTGGAGTATATTTCCATGACCATGAGGGACATGTTTAGAGAGGAAGGGGTGCAGTGTGAGAGAGAAGGCTTGTATGCTATTCAACAGCTGCATACACTGCCATCCACAGCAACCACCAAGCAAGCATGTTGTTCCCTTCAGAAAGGAACAGTCAATATACCCCCAACACATCAAGCCACTATGACCTGTGCTGTCTTGCAGGATTTTTTGGCTTGCCATACCCCCAGCCTATGGAGCTATGTGCTGCTACCTACCACCTTGGCATTTTGCGCTAACTTTGTTAAATGTTTAAATAATAAAAAGGGATTTTTCAGAAATAGTTTTAAATGGCTGTAGAAAAGACCTTTTGGAAACAGGCCCTTGGGTGTGATGCTTTGATATGACAAGGTTACATGGGGTTTTTGTGATGACAAGAAATTCCTGTCTAGATAATGCATCTGCTACGTGTTTCCCTGACATGCCACTTGCTACGTGCTCCCCTGCTTGAGCACACACAGAGATCAACCCTTGAAAAGCAAACGCTCTAGCCTCCTAGTTGAAATCTAAATTTCCAGCTCTTGCTGCACCCACTGCCCCAGTCCGGATTCCGAAACTATTTGGCAGCTGTTGCATGACTCCAAATTCCCAAGCAGCATGACACCCACTGTACAACTCCAGGTACCAGACAACATGACTGCTGTGCATATCCAGGTCCCCAGATTAACCCCACAGCCACTGTTCCAGCCCAACTTCCCCAAAAGCAACTTTCGAAACCTGTGTACGTGGTGGATTGGGCTAGATTGGGTATGGCAGGTTTCAGTGTCCATCTGACTTCAGACCATTGTCCAGTTCTGTTGTCTGTGATATCACACGACACAAATTTTTCAAAGGAAATATTTTAAAGGCTCAGTGGACCATCTGCTAACACGATAACTGCCTGGGGTAGCTAGTGTCTCCTTTGTGCAAGAGTGCCCAGTGATCATTTGCATTCTCCGCTGGGTACTCAACATACAGATACCATTTATATTTCTTAAGGCCTTTGAGCCTGGTTCTCCTCTTTCTTACACTGGCAGTAAAGGCAAATCAGACCGGTTGATATGTGCACATCAGGAGCATGCCTCTTCACCATCCATATTTGGGAGGGACAGTCTTAAGAACTGTGTCAAACCAAAGGTCCATCTAGCCCAGTGTCCTGTCTTCTGACAGTGGCCAGTGCCAGGTGCCCCAGAGGGAATGAACAGAACAGGTAATCATCAAGTGATCCATCCCCTGTCGCTCATTCCCAGCTTCTGGCAAACAGAGGCTAGGGACACCATTCCTGCCCATCCTGTCTAATATCCGTTGATGGACCTATCCTCCATGAATTTATCTAGTTCTTTTTTTGAACCCTGTTATGGTCTTGGCCTTCACAACATCCTCTGACCAGGAGTTCCACAGGTTGATTGTGCGTTGTGTGAGGAAACACTTCCTTTTATTTGTTTTAAACCTGCTGCCTATTAATTTCATTTGGTGACCCCTAGTTCTTGTGTTATGAGAAG